AAACCGATGATTAATAGCATTTCACAATGATATCTATTCAGATTTGTTAATTTATTTCGATAACTAAAGCTTCTTTCTTCTTTCTTTCTTTCTTTCTTTCTTTTTTTCTTTTCTTTTCTTTCTACTACGATCAGAACGATACGTTTGTTTTCATAACTATCTGATGAACTAACCTTGAAAATTGGAACGGTAATGTATTTGATAATCATAGAATAGAAGAGATGTTTAAGACCAAATGATAATTGATTAGATCGATCGATTTGATAATCATAGAATAGAAGAGATGCTTAAGATTAAATAATAATTAATTAGATAATAGCTATGTTGGAAAAATTTAAAGGTTATGAAAAATTCCAATATTGAAAGAAAAAAAAAGTAATAGATGTGAAAGAAAAATAAGAAAAATAAACAAAATTTTACCAATTTTGAACTAATTCTGAAGATTTTGTAAGAAAAAAAAAAGGAACAAAATTAGTTACGAAAGTTTAATTCTAATTTAAATTTTTCTTTTAATTACTAATTTAAATCTTTTCTCAATACTTTTACCATAACTACAAACATTAACAAATTAAAATTATTTTTGTAATCGAAATTTACTACCATATCAATAATCTATAACAATCTTCAATAAACAATTTTAAATATTGCTAAAAGTATGAACAATAAGGTATTCACCTATGATTTATCCAGTTTTATAGCATATTGTTTAAAAAAGGTGTTAAATTGAGGAGCAAAAAAAAAGTGAAAAAATTAATTAGGTAAATTAATTAGATAAATCCAGTACAAATGATACTTTCGATAATTGCAGGATTAGATATTTTTTTTTTAAAAAAAAAAAAGTTCGCAATGTATTCTATTTCATGCAACTTTTTAATTTCTATCCTATTTTTTGTATTTCTATACTTTAATCAATTGTTAGAGGATAGATAATATTTTCGAGAGAAATTTCAAATTCTTTTTAAAAAATAATAAACTTAAAATTTGAAAGAATTCAAATGTTCAATTATAAATGCTTCAGATTACAATAAATTCATCTGATAAGATTTCGAAGATTATTAAAGAAGAATACATTGATTAATACTAGTGAGAAAATGTTATTTTTCCCGTATCTGGTTCTTAATTAAATCTAATTTTTGAATTTAAAATTTGACTAAAAACTAAGTAATCGATAATTTTTCGAATAGAAAAATTAAACAATATTTGTTAATTTTCAAATGCTAAATTTAAAAATGTGATACTAATACTATCAATGATAATAACTAAATGGAATGAATAAACATATGGAATTAATAAAATTAAAGGACAGGAAATTAGGAATTGATGTAGATAATCGATTATTGGGAAGGATTGATGATGGATAAAATGAGGAAGGTGGAAATGACTATCTTTTTGTGATAGCTCAATATAATAGAGAGTTTTAAGCTATGTAAGAAAGATATAGGAGAAGAAGGGAAAGAAAGAGAGAGAGAGAGAAAGGGGAAAGAGAGAGATGAATGATCGGGTCAACCAAGTGCTGCAAATATTCCCTTCCTACAAACTTCTTCTTCATCTTCTTTTGAACTACTAACAAACCTACACCTCCTTTGGTAAGCATCTGCTCGAAAAATCTTTTTGTACTGCAACTGTTCCATTTCACGAATTGCAATAGAGAAGGATAACATTCATAGGCATTCTGTTAAAATTAAAAAAAAAAAAAAAAAAAGAAAAAAAAAAGGAGCGGAAATTGAACATTTACAAAATTATTTTGCTCCTCAAATATTAAAGTTTTCAAGCATTTAAAAATAAAACTAAAAAAAAAAAGTCAAATCATTATAGTAATTATATAACAAATAAAATTTTTATCCTTATTGATAAACGATAAGTTGTTTATGATAAATTGAAGATAATTGATAAGCATGTTATATGCGTAAATGATAATCCCTGATAAGCAAGTTATATGCGTAAATGATAATCGTCTCCTTTATTTTGAACACTTTTTTCTTTTCCATTGCTCCACCTCCTCTTCTCCGCCTCGTTTCATTATACTTTATAGTATTAACATTCGAAATAAACAAATAACAACATTTGAAATTTGAGAGCAACAAATATCACTGAGGTTAATGAGAACAGCTGCTGATATGATAGGAAAAGCTAAAGAGTAATGCTTATCGCTAAGCTTAAAGCCTCATTTACTTAATTGTTATCAATTGGCTATAATAGAAATAGAAATAATTTACAGAAATTATTTTTTTTTTTATTGAAATTTCGTACCAAAAAGGTTATTCTGTTTAAGATTTTAGAATAAGAAAATTAAAATTTTCTTTTAAAATTTTCATTTTAAGAAAAAAAGTTTTCATTTTTATTTTGAGTTAAAAACTTTGCTAATTTTAAAATACGTTTAGCTTATATTTATGTTCATTTAATTATTTAGGTTGATCATACCTTTTCCTAATAGCCTTTTTAATTGTCTTAATTATTTAAGTATTTGAAGAGATTTTATAATGCACATAATAGAATAGTACAATAAAATATACAGAAATATGAAATGCTGAATTAATTCACTAATATGTAATAATCGATATTGTTTATGATAAGATTTAATTATTCTTAATTGCTACGCCTGTTTATCTGCTGCTCTATTGATGAGATAAACGATGGACAAGAGTTAGAGATACACTTCAAGAGTGTTAAGACTGTAAGATATTATAGTGATAGTGAGAACTGATAAGATCCACTGAAACAATTATCTGTTCTAAATGAAGGGCAAAACACAGTTTCATCAATAATCAAAACCTTTGGATGTCAATTTTCTTGGATGGGTGGAAAAGGGGGAGGGAGGAAAAAAATGAAATTACGATTTAAAATGAATTAATTAATTTCCCCAGACGATTGTCAAATGTCAACTTTAAATAAACATGAAACAAATGTTTGATTGAAAAAAAAAGTTATCTTTAATTTAGTGGTAAGATTAAATGAAAATGACTTATCTAATTTTATATTAGAAACATTTTTTGATTTCCGACGATTAATTCAACATGTCAATCAGCAGTGCATATTAGTTGACAAAGGAAAAATCAGTAATATTTCGAAGTATTTTTATTTGTATTAATCAAATATTTGCGCATTTTTTTTTTTTTTCATTTCCCATGCTATTCATTCATATGATCTTTGATATTTTAATAATAGTAGAATAAAAAATTTTCAAAAAATTTTTCGAATATGTTAATCGATGATTTCTATGGGTGACTAATATAGATTTACAGTTATATTGCTTAACATTTAAATTCATGCAGAAAAAAGATTCATAATTAAATGGAATAAATTTGATAAAAATGATATTCCAAAGTTTTTTTTAGGACTAATTTTAAGCTCAAATATTAATATTACCTTATTAATTTCAAATATTTAATTAAGGTTTATTTTAAAATTATAACTGAACAACAATTGTTTGATCATTTCTTTCGGTTGTTTCTTGTCATCAATTTAATTTTCTCACCAATTATTGTCACTCATCGAGGAACACTACAAATCTCGAACAAACATATAATCTTCAAGTTTCCTCAAAGACGACAATATCCGTTGTCTGGTGGTAGTTGCCTAACAAAATCAAAAGAAAATTACTGATGTCAACATTTCCGGATTGATTGCAATATGATACTACTCCTATTTTGTCTAAAATACGACACTGAAAAATGGTTTAATCTTCTACCACCATCAAATTATGCCAATATAACCACTATATCCTAACCTTGACCTAGGTTATTTATATTTTAAATTGTAAAGCCTAAAATTGCAATTAATCCCTATAAAGACCACATTCACCTGATTGTATGGAAATATTTTATTTGAATAAAATAAACACACTTTCATTTTATTTGAATCCAAAAAAAAAAAGGAACGAATGATAGAATATACGATAATATAATTTTATCAGCTCATACTTGATCCAATATCATCTGTATGATATGAACATATAATTTTATCAGCTCATACTTGATCCAATATCATCTGTATGATATGAACATATAATTTTTATCAGCTCATACTTGATCCAATATCATCTGTATGATATGAACCATTCACCAAGAAATTTGTTATTTAATTTCAAGATTCAGAAACCCATTACACAGTAATTTGCAATGATACTTCTTTCCGTTTAAGTTATAAATTAAGTATTTTATTTTCCTTTATTCATTGCTAAACAACTTATCAGTGATA